ACCTCGGTGATGCATGAGCATTTAAAAAGAAAGCATGTTGGGCACTTGAAAAAAAAAAATGAAACGGCCTCGGTAAGATTTAAGCAACAATAATGCTGATATGTTTTGTCTTTTATGTACGTTATACATTTTCTAAGCGTTTTTTCACTTTAAAAGAGAGCTTTAACGTTACGCCTGACAAACGCATTCTTATTTACGTTTTGTATCAGCTGCAAAGTTGAATAAAAGATGCATTTTTCATTGAGGTACCCATTTTTCTTGTGTTTATCATTTTCCACTTGACTAAAGCAACTTTATGCTATTTTGAAGAAAAAGTGAATAACTATTCGATTAGTCGACTAATCGTTTCAATAGTCGGTGACTAGTCGAGTATTAAAATAGTTCTTAGTTGCAGCCCTAAGGTCCAGCATAAGAGGTTTCTCCACATCTACATCAGGGATGGATGGTGGGTATAGTGAACATACAGGGGGATTGATTAATAGGTGTTTTCACCTGCCGCTCAGGTAGAGTGGAAGTGGCAAACGAACGCTTTTGTTTGTACGTTTGTATGAAAGTTAAAGACAAATAAATGCCTCTATTTTTCTAAGACGCGCGTTGGGATCTGACCTAAACTTCTACTCTGAAGCGGTGGCCGTAAGGTGGCTACAAACGCTGATTAAAAGCTGATGAATCAAGCACCATTTATTTATTTATTTATTTAATCAGGACAGTGCACATTAATGAACAATCTCATACAGATTGTAAATGAGCCAGATTCTAGCATAGTTGCTAATTTACATCTGTGGTCCTGAGGCAAAACAACACAAAATCACAAAATACAAAATCAGTCCAAACACACGTTCAGACAATGACATTACAAAATTGAAATTAATTAAATTCAATTCAGTTTTATTTGTATAGCTCCACATCACAACAACAGTTATGTTTCCAAACAGAGCAGGTCAGACCTACTCTGAAGTTAACTACAGAAACCCAACAATTCCCACCATGAGCAGCACTAGGCGACACAGGCAAGGAAAAACTTCCTTTAACCGACCATCATTGTGCTCAAAGACCAGAGCTCACACGGAATAAATCATATGTCAGGGTTATGCCCCTAAACTCTTCTGAATTTGCCGCTATAAGAGGACAAAAACAGACACAGTAAGACTCAGTAAGTTCAGTGAATAATTACAAAGAGACTTTACAATCTCCAACCTACTCTGAGCTCTCTCCTGCTCCCCTCTCTATTTATTTGGTTCCTATCACAGCTTTGTT